AACGAGTTTCAAAATGAACATTCTCGACATGGTTTGTAATTTGTCATAAATTTTATTACTGCGGATCGGGTGATCCTGGGTATCTATGTTTTTATTATCTTCCCAAAATCGTTGGGAAGGCTTTCAACGACATATTTTCTACATATTGTCACGCTCGCCGATCGGTGACCGTTAACTCTCGCATTTTCTCTTACATCCTGTCTCAACGATCACCTTATTAAATAATCTCGAAACGAGGAAATCGTGGAGTCTTCCCGGACGTAACAAAAGTGTGAATATGTTTTAGTTTTGTAATTACAGATTCTGTCGCTGATATATGATACTTAGCTTTAATCAACAATAACAATTTTTCTACAATGAAATCAAATGCAGTACTTTCTATTAGTGAGATCGGCATAATAGAGAGTGCATTCTGGAATCCCAAGATTCAAGATCGCGTTTTTAATTTCTTGTGTTTCTGATTTTAGATCTGACTTGTTTAAAAAGCAAATTATAGAACTTGAGATATCATCTCTTGATGTCAAAAAATCTATGATTAGTTCTTTCGAGTATGATACATCAGATTCACTACTTACATCAAATACAAAAATTGCTACATCTGAATTCAATAATGATTTTTTTGCTCTTTTTATTCCTTCTTGTTCTACAGGATCTACAGTTTCCCTGACTCCTGCCATATCTGCGAAGACGACTGGAAAGCCTCCTATATCAACTTTGCTTTCTATAATATCACGTGTGGTTCCTGCTATGTCAGATACAATCGCAGCGTTTCTTTGAGAAAAAATATTGAGTAGAGTTGATTTGCCAGCGTTAGGCGGTCCAATTATTGTGACTCTAACTCCATCATTTAGCGATGTGTTATTCTGGTTTATCTTTATGTACCTTGTAATCTCTGATCTTAATCTTGAGATCTCAGAATTAACATTATCCAGCAATTTATCTGGAATATCATCTTCAGGAAAGTCTATTAATTCTTCTAAAGTAACTAGTATATCTGTTGTGGATTGGTGTGAATGATGCCAAGGGATGAAAACTTAAAATTGCTTTATTTGTAAGCACGAGACAATGTGAGTGTTACTTGCATTCGAACATAAACTTATAAAACTTAAACTAACGTCGCGTCCACCTTACTGCCTATCTGCGCGCCACATAGCGCCTCCAACTCCCTATCAAGTGGACGCCGGACTGAGTCGGTAACAATATCAATTAGTGATGATCTCAATGAATCATATAAATTTTCAAGTTCTCCAGAGAGGTTGCGTATTGCAACGGATTTTTGTAGTTCTGTTTGTGCATCTAACAGATCTGCTAGTGCTTCTGCTTTTGTAAGGTCGAATTTAGAGTTGTAAAATGCTCTCTTAATGAATTCTTCAGGTTCTGCAAGGCGTAGAAAATCTAGTTTATGTAACTCTTGCATCAAGTCATTGATAACTGCGATGCTGCCATACACATGGAGTTCTAGAACATCTTCGCCGGCTTGCTGGATTTTGGAAAAAAATTACTATTGCATCATCTATTATATGACTTTTATCTACTGAGAACAAGCGACTCAACATTGCTCTTCGATTAATGAGTTCTTCCTTCCCTCCTAACTTGCTATATGTTAGTTTCGCATCTGGACCTGAGATTCTTATAACTGCAACTCCAGATTTGCCAAATATAGTGGATAGTGCAAATATAGTGTTAGACATACTTTATTATAACTATATATGGCTTAAAACGGCTTCAATACCACAAGAAAAACTATGAAAATCATCAGTAGAGATGGTATTTTATTTGCTACTTTAAAAAACCTTGGTGTTCTCTTATTAGCACCAAGTGCAAACCGTTTTGCAAAGCGCCCCATTATATGATGAAATGTCAGTAGAATAAATACGAAAAGCAGCTTGATATGAAGCCATATGCTGCTTTTAAATCCAATTATATAAATCAAGGCAATTCCAAAGATAGTGATATGATCATGCTGGGAGTCATTATAGGCATTATATACGTAATTATATACGTAATTATATCTCTCCATGGTCCTAAATATCATGTCTGCTTCAGAGCCTACTCTTGTATTAGCATGATACACAAATAGTCTAGGTAGGTATAGCAAGCCAACCATCCAGCATATGACTGCAATAATGTGAATTGATTTGATAACTAGGTAATATTCTGAAATCATAGGTCTTAAGTCCCAAGATATATTATTTGGCCAGTAATTGAGTGTGTTTTTATTATGAAATCTAAAGTGCTAGCAATCTCCTCGCATTTAACTTGTTTGCCGAGTATAGATTTTTAAATTTCATTTTCAAAATTTTCTTGACTCTGTTGTTCGCTTTTTAGTGCATATCCAACTGCTATACCATTAACTCTGATTTTTGGTGCAAGCTGTCTTGCTGACATTTTGGTAAAATCTGTAAGCGCTAATTTTGTTAGCCGATACGTACAAAAGTTGTTTGCTGAAGAGTCTACATTGCAATCTAACATATTTATTATGTTTAGGTTAGAATTTGTTGGAAAGTTTTGCCTTGCGAACAATGATGTTAGTATCATAGGAGCTGTCAGGATCGCAGTAAGACAAGCGTTTACCTTATCAAAGTTTAAAAAGTAAATGGAGTCATTTTTGAATGCAGCGGCATTATTAATCAGCAGGCTGATTGGTTCTTCTTTTATATGGAATAGCGTAGAAAAATTACAAGAGTTAGCCAAAAAATCAAGGCATGCCAGTGTCATTCTGCTTGTTTCTTCTTCAGAAAGCAAAGACTTGATGGATAATGCGCCAGAATGCGATTCATTGTAATGACAATGACGTTCCAATCGTTTCTTATAAGATGAAGCGTTAAGAATCTTCCTATTCTCCTGGCGCCGCCGGTTATTAAGGCAGTTGGCACTCAAAATCTCCTATGAGGTTCTTGAAAATGGAAAAAAGAAACTAGTGCAATAAAATAAACTTGGCAGGAGCGAGAGGACTCGAATCTCCAACCGCCGGTTTTGAAGACAGGAACTATACCAATTGAGCTACACTCTTATATGACAACGAGAATCTATATTTGATTCTGCATAAAGTAAAGTACTTTTTAAGTCTTGGTGAATATACCTCTGCTGAATAAAGAGCATTTAATTGTGTGCATGCTAAGTTAGACTTCAAAAGGATCTAGGAATTCTCTCCGCCTGCAAATCTTGAAAGATAGGACTCGCAGGCGTGGATATATTATATAACCAAAAGTAATGCTTAAGCTAAAAGAATGCTTTATTCTACTTCCGGCTGATTAAAATTCTCTACTGGAAAGCCCATGTAATCTATTTGGCAAATGTTGTCCTTAGATAAGTAAGAGTTAGATTGATTTAGAGAGCTGTGTAAAAGCCAACCAAGGTCTGCATATGCAACATATGATTTCAAATACCAATCATTGCTTGAGTACTCTTCATATAATGAATATAAGTTAGAAAATGAATTATATGCGCTGTAGCCGGTAAAAATTGCGCTATACATTAAAGCAATTTGCGGTACTCCAATGTATGCTGCAACATAAGGCAATCCCATATAAGCTGCTGTTGTAACTGCATTCTGAAGCACCTTGCCATATTCTCCAATATAACCGGAATATATAATATCGGCTGCGTTGACAGCAGCAGAATAAAAATTAAAGCCGGCAACCATGCTATATAAATGAGCTGAATCAACCGTAACTTTTTTAGCATTATTAGCTGTTGGTTCATGTATAAATCTTGCAGAATCTACAGCGGTATCAAGTAGCTTAAACCCAATAGACATATTGTGAAGAGTCTTCAGCAATGTATATGGAACATAAAGTTCTGTAAATTCTTTTTCCGAATGTAAAGCACGAGCGCTTTGTTCTTCTTGGTGAACACTTGGCGGAACAATTGCTTTCAAATCAGGCTCATCACCCACTTCCGTGCTACTTATTGCTTTGTTAATAATAGGCTCATTGACTTCTATAGCTGAAGGTGATGCTGGCGGCTCTTTGCTTTGGGCATCTTTCTTTAGCGTAACAACTTTTTTGGAGATGAGGCTATTTGTACCATCCTCTTCCTTGGCTTTTGCGTAAAATTCTTGTCGCAGCAATGCAAGGCTTTTGTTATATATTCCATTTTTCTCTTCAGGTGCTTCTAGTGCAGCAACTTCTTCGGAAATGAGGTTATTTGTGCTCTCAACTTGCTCGTCAAATTGGTTTTGTAGTAGGAGAAAGTGGGCGAATTGTGCGCACCTAAGGGATATTTGTTTTCTTGAGATGGTTTTCTAAGTTCCAAGCGATATAAGTATGGAAATAGAAACTATAAACATTCTTCTATCATTATGTAACCTTATCTTGAATAGATTTTCATTCAATAAGGTTGTATTTGGCAAAAAGGAAAAAACGGAAAAGCAAAAAAATTTCTCGCGCGTCGGGTAATTGTGTGCAAAACAAAAGTCATTTGAAATGAATGAATTGTGGAATGTTGACATAGAAATCAGAACATACATTCATTATATTGCAATATAAATATATATTAAACATATTTTAAATGTATATTTCCGCTTGCGCACAGTTGCCCGCCGCGATCTGACTCGGTACGAAATACGAATTACTTCAACAATTCCTAACCAAACTTAATAAATAACAGTTTAAAAGATGCACATAATAACGTACTTTAATAACGTATACAGTTTTAAACAAACAAATTAAAAATACGGACTTACCTCCTTATTTTCTGAATGCTAAAATAACAAGAAAAGATGTAATTTCATTTTTTTGTATTTCTCTGGCTAGCGATGTATTTATGTCTTCGTATCTTTTGTAATTATATCTTAAAAGGACGACTTCCTGCGTGAAAATTTCACCACGGTGATGTCATCATCTATTGGGAAAGTACCAAACCAGGATGCGCACAATTACCCGCTGCGCACAGTTCCCCCACTTTCCCCTAATGTAAGGCTTTTGTTATATATTCCATTTGCCTGTTCTTCGATTATCTTATGAAGTGGTTTTCGTAGTAATGTCAATATTTCTTTTATTGACTCCGGCTTTGCTTCAACAGGATTTATTAAAATGATAATAGAGATGCTTTTATGTTTTGACTTAGTTCGCCAAATTTACGCAATGCGCCACTTTCATCTCCTTTGTGATGTTCCGTGAGATCTTTTTTAACTAAGCTGAGATTGGCCAATTCCACATCTTTCTGCCATTTTTTATCAAATTCTCCTGTTTTAGAGAATAGAGAGTCTGCAATCTTATCTCTTAAACCATCAAATTTATATGATGATGCTATGATTCGATTGATTATGCCGCTATTTTTTATGTCATATTTAACCATTTCTGCGACTTTATTGTCTTCTAATATATCCTTACAGATGCTTTGGAAAAATTTTGCATTTTCTGCTTTAATATATGATAATGCAAGTATCAATTTCTTTTCATCTTGTGAAAAATATGGCTGATTTTGTATCAGAGTTTTGATTCCTCTTATTCCTGCCGGTATTTTTAGCAATATATCTAGCACTGTGTGATTTGCGTTTTCTAGTGCGTTTTGGAAGGGTTTGTAATAACCGCCATTCTCCAGAACTTCTCTTATGTTCACTCCTGCTTGATTAGCATACTCAAGTAATAACTCCATTGCCTTATGATTCGTATTTTTTGCTGCATACTGAAAGGTGCGGTGATATTCCTCATCAAGTATTTGTTTTATGTTTATTCCTGCTTGATTAGCATGCAAAAATAATAACTCTATTATCTCAGGATTCGCATTTTGCACAGCATACTCAAAAGTTGAAATCATGCGATCATCGTTATCCTCTATCATTGCTTTGATATTTATTCCATTCTTCTTAGCAGCTTCAAAGAAAGCTGAGAGAACATTAGCGTCTTCTTGCTTCAAAATATGGAGGAGAAATTTAGTACTGTGTAATAATTCTCTAACGGTATAGGTTCATTATTGCTTTTGACCTGATCAATTATTTCATCATAACTGTGTATAAGGTTGTCAATTCTTCAGTGCGTTTCAATAACGTGCGTTTGAATAAGCTCTCTAAAAATATGTTGATATGCTACTTATGCGAGCGATTAGCAGCATTGATATTACGACTGCTTACATTTCAGCTAAAAATTCCAGCAAACGAGATAAAAACTGTATAATTTTCGTAGATATATCGAAATAAATTGGCGTTTTATGTGAGGTATATATTGTAAACTCATTGACCTGACTTGGTGAATTGAAGATTTAAAGATTTTTTATGAAGAATTCGTTAATTATCCGGGTTAAATTGCGATTAATCTTTTCTCTGAGCTATGTTAGAATTGCTAAGAAAGTTTGCGTTGAGAATTGAATTTGTGATCAAATAGAAAATTTTTGAGTGGGGCTTGCAAGAATGCGCCGCTTATAATGCATATTTGCCTGCAAATCTTGAAAGATAGGACTTGCAGGCGTGGATATATTATATAACCAAAAGTAATACTTAAGCTAAAGGCATACCTTGCTCTACTTCCAGCTGATTAAAACTTTCTATTGGAAAGCCCATGTAATCCATTTGGTAAATGTTATCGTCAGATGAGTAAGAGCTAGATTGACCTAGAGAGTTATGTAAAAACAAATATGGGTCTGCACATGCAGCATATGATTTTAAAGACCAGTCGTCGCTTAAGTACTCTTCATATAGTGAATATAAGTTAGAGAATGCACTATATGCGCTGTAGCCGGTAACAATTGC